TCTCTTCCTGTGTGCTGTGTGAAGGGGGTGTATCCCTTCCCTCCAATCAGCTCTCGCCGAGCTCTGCAGAATGTAACGTCAGCTCCCCCGCTCCCTGCTTTCTGAAAGCTAAGACAAGCTGTATAAATTCTGCACTTTGAATGGCTGTAGAGAAGAGAAGGCTGCAGATAAACAGGTACAACCTATGTAGGAGGATTTGTTTCTTCTCTGTGTATCACCCGACGCCGGTCACCTCACTGGGTATATGGAAGGGTTAACAATCAGTTTTAATGGTGGCCATGCATGGAAAGATTTTATATACAGTCATATTGTCAATTGATTTGCTGACCAGGAGAAAACTTCAGTCAGGAGATTGATCGGGCACCAATTAATTGTTTCATACAATTGGACCGTGTATTCAAAATCGACCTCTAAGTATGGAATAGTATATTAGGAATCGATCGATCCGTCCCATGTGATGGAATTCTGTAGTCTACAAAAAAGATTTGTATTGTAACGGGATCTATATATGGATGACACACAACAACTGAGATTTTATTGCTGCTGCATTTTCAGCTGTCATTCTGAAATATTTTTTTTTACAGAAATTATTTCATATAAATACATATTTTATGGTATTCATAACAAGAACATGTTACAGACAAATACAAGTCATGTATGACTGTGATGTGCAGGTTGTGTTCACAGAACTTTGCTTTCAATTGTGTCTTGCTTAGTTATATATCCAGTGTATATATTGTGTGTGCGTGTAGTGTGTGTATATATACTTGGACAGAGGGGTGGACGTGGTATACTTGGACAGAGGGGTGGCTGTGGACGTGGTATACTTGGACAGAGGGGTGGCTGTGGACGTGGTATACTTGGACAGAGGGGTGGACGTGGTATACTTGGACAGAGGGGTGGCTGTGGACGTGGTATACTTGGACAGAGGGGTGGCTGTGGACGTGGTATACTTGGTCAAAGGGGTGGCGGTGGACGTGGTATACTTGGACAGAGGGTTGGCGGTGGACGTGGTATACTTGGACAGAGGGTTGGCTGTGGACGTGGTATACTTGGACAGAGGGGTGGCGGTGGACGTGGTATACTTGGTCAAAGGGGTGGCGGTGGACGTGGTATACTTGGACAGAGGGGTGGCTGTGGATGTGGTATACTTGGTCAGAGGGGTGGCGGTGGACGTGGTATACTTGGTCAAAGGGGTGGCGGTGGACGTGGTATACTTGGACAGAGGGGTGGGGGCGGTGGACGTCGTATACTTGGATTTTGCAAAAGCGTTGGACAAGGTCATATTCAGAGAGTAATGGGTAATGATTCATACTCTGAATGGTCTAGGGGTGTCAGTGGTGTACCCCCAAGGTTCAGTGTCATTATTGGTGTACCCCAAGGTTCAGTGTCATTATTGGTGTACCCCAAGGTTCAGTGTCAGTGGGATTTACCTCAAGGTTCAATGTTAGTGGGGGACCCCAAGGTTCAGTGTCGTTACTGGGGGGGTCAATGAGGGAGAAGGATCTGGTGGAGGTCAATGGTGGAGAAGGATCTGGGGGGTTAATGGTGGAGAAGGAGCTGGAGGGGTCAATGGTGGAGAAGGATCTGGAGGGGTCAATGGTGGAGAAGGATCTGGGCAGGTCGATGGTGGAGAAGGATCTGGGGGGTTAATGGTGGAGAAGGATCTGGAGGGGTCAATGGTGGAGAAGGATCTGGAGGGGTCAATGGTGGAGAAGGATCTGGAGGGGTCAATGGTGGAGAAGGATCTGGAGGGGTCAATGGTGGAGAAGGATCTGGGGGGTCAATGGTGGAGAAGGATCTGGGGGGGGTCAATGGTGGAGAAGGATCTGGAGGTTCTGGTAGATCACAAGCTTCACGCCTTAATGGTAAAACAAAACTTAAAGGCTAAGTAAAATTTTACAACATTTGACCCTGACCATTGACCTTGACCTTTGACCCTGACCATTGACCTTGCCCTTTGACCCTGACCTTGTCCCAAGCACTAACCCTGGCACTGAACCAAACCAAACCTTGATCTAGGTATTTTTTCTTTATTTTTTCTTTTATTTTGTAATATTTATATATATATATACAGTATTTTACAAACAGTTGTTTTTTTTTTTTCTCTCCCTTTGCAAGGAGAGAGAGAGATACAATGTATATCTCTCCTCCATTCAGAGAGGAGGGCAGGTGTCACAGTGACTGATCACTGTGATAGCCAATCAGACACTATCACAGCGATCATGTGACCCGGAATCAGGAGTCCGGGTTCCCGATCGTTAGAACGAGACCCGGGTCTCTCAGTGACACGCGGTCTATGTGCTGGGAGCGCGCTGTGCGCCACACTCCCAGCACAAAGACAGGTATGCAAATATGCCCCATGGAAAAAAGTCCAGTTCTGTGAGGCTGCATGTTTGTGTGACGTCAATGTCAAGGGGTTATTAGGTGCTTAAAATCCTTTCTCATATTAGGAGAGGTATAGACTCCAGAGAGATATCATCTCCCCAACCCCCCCCCCCCCCCCCCCCCCCGGTACAAATCTTTAGAAAAACCTCATCTGCAATATGCAGTTCAGTTTTGGCTCCAATTCACAACAAGAACATTGGGGAACTGGAGAAAGTACAGAGAAGGGCAACCAAACTGATACGAGGCATGGAGGAGATCAGCTATGAGGAAAGATTAGAGGAACTGAATGTATTCTCTACTGAGAAGAGGAGATTAAGGGGGATATGATCTCCATGTATAATACATAAGGGGGGATATGATCTCCATGTATAATACATAAGGGGGGGATATGATCTCCATGTATAATACATAAGGGGGGATATGATCTCCATGTATAATACATAAGGGGGGGATATGATCTCCATGTATAATACATAAGGGGGGATATGATCTCCATGTATAATACATAAGGGGGATATGATCTCCATGTATAATACATAAGGGGGGATATGATCTCCATGTATAATACATAAGGGGGGGTATGATCTCCATGTATAATACATATAGGGGAGATATGATCTCCATGTATAATACATAAGGGGGGGGGGGGGGGGTATGATCTCCATGTATAATACATAAGGGGGGGGGGTATGATCTCCATGTATAATACATAAGGGGGGGATATGATCTCCATGTATAATACATAAGGGGGGGTAATGATCTCCATGTATACTACAAAAGGGGGGTATGATCTCCATGTATACTACAAAAGGGGGATATGATCTCCATGTATAATACATAAGGGGGGATATGATCACCATGTATAATACATAAGGGGGGATATGATCTCCATGTATAATACATAAGGGGGGGATATGATCTCCATGTATAATACATAAGGGGGGGGTATGATCTCCATGTATAATACATAAGGGGAGATATGATCTCCATGTATAATACATAAGGGGGGGGGGGGGTATGATCTCCATGTATAATACATAAGGGGGGGGGGGTATGATCTCCATGTATAATACATAAGGGGGGGGATATGATCTCCATGTATAATACATAAGGGGGGGTATGATCTCCATGTATACTACAAAAGGGGGGTATGATCTCCATGTATACTACAAAAGGGGATATGATCTCCATGTTTAATACATAAGGGGGGATATGATCTCCATGTATAATACATAAGGGGGGGAATATGATCACCATGTATAATACATAAGGGGGGATATGATCTCCATGTATAATACATAAGGGGGATATGATCTCCATGTATAATACATAAGGGGGGATATGAATCTCCATGTATAATACAAAAGGGGGATATGATCCATGTATAATACATAAGGGGGGGATGTGATCGCCATGTATAAGGGGATATGATCTCCATGTATAATACATAAGGGGGGATATGATCTCCATGTATAATACATAAGGGGGGATATGATCTCCATGTATAATACATAAGGGGGATATGATCTCCATATAATACATAAGGGGGGATATGAATCTCCATGTATAATACATAAGGGGGGATATGATCTCCATGTATAATACATAAGGGGGGATATGATCTCCCTGTATAATACATAAGGGGGGGATATGATCTCCATGTATAATACATAAGGGGGGGATATGATCTCCATGTATAATACATAAGGGGGGGATATGATCTCCATGTATAATACATAAGGGGGGGATATGATCTCCATGTATAATACATAAGGGGGGGATATGATCTCCGTGTATAATACATAAGGGGGGGGATATGATCTCCGTTGTATAATACATAAGGGGGGATATGATCTCCAATGTATAATACATAAGGGGGGGGGGTGATCTCCATGTATAATACATAAGGGGGGATATGAATCTCCATGTATAATAATAAGGGGGATATGATCTCCGTGTATAATACATAAGGGGGGGATATGATCTCCATGTATAATACATAAGGGGGGGGATATGATCTCCATGTATAATACATAAGAGGGGGATTATGATCTCCGTGTATAATACATAAGGGTGGGATATGATCTCCATGTATAAAATACATCAGTGGATCATATAGTGAACTCGGTGTAGTTTATTCCCCCTGAGGTCATCACAGAGGACAAGGGGGCGCTCTTTACGTCTGGAGGAAAAGAGATTTAATCTCCAAACACGGAAAGGTTTCTTCACAGTGAGAGCTGTGACAAATGTGGAATAGACTCCCTCCAGAGTTGGGTGTGACCAGCTCAGTGTGATTGCTGTAGGAAAGTCCTGGATTCTTTCTTGGATACACAGAATATAACTGGATATAACATTTATAGGTGAAGCTGATTCAGGAATATCCGATTGCCTCTCGGGGATCAGGGAGGATTTTTTTCCCTGCAGGAGCAAATTGGATCGTGCTTTGCTGGGTTTTTGCCTTCCTCTGGATCACCTGTGGGTGTCGGATTATAATTTTTTTTTTTTAATGGTTGAACTGGATGGACTTTTGTCTTTTTTCAGCCAGACTAACTATGTAATCCTGTTATCCCATACTGAGAAGAATCAATCAGATCATTAGGATTGTGGATACCAGTAAGATTTGTCAGCCACAACATCCTGACATTGCTCCTGCACATGCTGAGCCTCTCATGTTTCTCCTGCACTTGTTGAACATCCCAACATTCCTGCAGATACATCATGACAATCCTCCTACAGATGGTAAAAACACCCCTATAGTCCACGTTCATATGCTTAGCACTCTGTAATTCCTCCTTCACATGCTGAGCACTTCTCCTGTCCTGGATGCCGGGTGTAATTCTCGGTATCTCCTCTTATTCTGCATGTATGGACTCTGCACAGTCCCACTTCTCCTGTCCCGGATGCTGGGTGTCATTCTCGGTATCGGTCCTTATTCTGTAAGTATGGACTCTGCACAGTCCCACTTCTCCTGTCCTGGTATGCCGGGTGTCATTCTTAGTATCGGTCCTTATTCTGTATGTATGGACTCTGCACAGTCCCACTTCTCCTGTCCCCCGGATGCTGGGTTCATTCTCGGTATCGGTCCTTATTCTGTATGTATGGACTCTGCACAGTCCCACTTCTCCTGTCCCGGATGCCGGTGTCATTCTCAGTATCGGTTCATTATTCTGTATGTATGGACTCTGCACAGTCCACTTCTCCTGTCCTGGATGCCGGGTGTCATTCTCGGTATCGGTCCTTACTCAGTATGTAATGGACTCTGCACAGTCCCACTTCTCCTGTCCCGGATGCCGGGTGTCATTCTCGGTATCTGCCTTATTCTGTATGTATGGACTCTGCACAGTCCCACTTCTCTCTTGTCCCGGGATGCCGGGTGTCATTTCTCGGTATCGGTCCTTATTCTGTATGTATGGACTCTGCACAGTCCCACTTCTCCTGTCCTGGATGCCGGGTGTCATTCTCGGTATCGGTCCTTACTCTGTATGTATGGACTCTGCACAGTCCCACTTCTCCTGTCCCGTCGTAATCGGATGCCGGGTGTCATTCTCGGATAGCCGGGTGGTATCGGTCCTTACTCTGTATGTATGGACTCTGCACAGTCCCACTTCTCCTGTCCCGGATGCCGGGTGTCATTCTCGGTATCGGGGGGGTCCTTTACTCTGTATGTAATGGACTCTGCACAGTCCCACTTCTCACTGTCCCGGATGCCGGGTGTCATTCTCGGTATCGGTCCTTACTCTGTATGTATGGACTCTGCACAGTCCCACTTCTCCTGTCCGGATGCCGGGTGTCATTCTCGGTATCGGTCCTTACTCTGTATGTATGGACTCTGCACAGTCCCACTTCTCCTGTCCCGGGATGATGCCGGGGTGTCATTCTCGGTATCGGTCCTTACTCTTATGTATGGACTCTGCACAGTCCCACTTCTCCTGTACCGGATGCCGGCCGGTGTCATTCTCGGTATCGGTCCTTACTCTGTATGTATGGACTCTGCACAGTCCCACTTCTCCTGTCCCGGATGCCGGGTGTCATGTCTCGGTATCGGTCCTTATTCTGTATGTATGGACTCTGCACAGTCCCACTTCTCCTGTCCCGGAATGCCGGGTGTCCATTCTCAGTATCGGTTCATTATTCTGTATGTATGGACTCTGCACAGTCCCACTTCTCCTGTCCTGGATGGCCGTGGTGTCATTCTCGGGATCGGTCCTTACTCAGTATGTATTGGACTCTGCACAGTCCCACTTCTCCTGTCCCGGATGCCGGGTGTCATTCTCGGTATCTGTCCTTATTCTGTATGTATGGACTCTGCACAGTCCCACTTCTCTTGTCCCGGATGCCGGGTGTCATTCTCGGTATCGGTCCTTATTCTGTATATATGGACTCTGCACAGTCCCACTTCTCCTGTCCTGGATGCCGGGTGTCATTCTCGGTATCGGTCCTTACTCTGTATGTATGGACTCTGCACAGTCCCACTTCTCCTGTTCCCGGATGCCGGGTGTCATTCTCGGTATCGGTCCTTACTCTGTATGTATGGACTCTGCACAGTCCCACTTCTCCTGTCCGGATGCCGGGTGTCATTCTCGGGTATCGGTCCTTACTCTGTATGTATGGACTCTGCACAGTCCCACTTCTCCTGTCCCGGATGCCGGGTGTCATTCTCGGTATCGGTCCTTACTCTGTATGTATGGACTCTGCACAGTCCCACTTCTCCTGTCCCGGATGCCGGGTGTCTTTCTCGGTATCGGTCCTTACTCTGTATGTATGGACTCTGCACAGTCCCACTTCTCCTGTCCCGGATTGCCGGGGTGTCATTCTCGGTATCGGTCCTTACTCTCTGTATGTATGGACTCTGCACAGTCCCACTTCTCCTGTCCCGGATGCCCGGTGTCATTCTCGGTATCGGTCCTTACTCTGTATGTATGGACTCTGCACAGTCCCACTTCTCCTGTCCCGGATGCCGGGTGTCATTCTCGGTATCGGTCCTTACTCTGTATGTATGGACTCTGCACAGTCCCACTTCTCCTGTCCCGGATGCCGGGTGTCATTCTCTTTATCTGTCCTTACTCTGTATGTATGGATATTTTTATTTGTATAAACAAACAAATTACAAGGTAACAAAACTGTAACCTTCATCATCATAAAAAACACCACATAAAACCAACAATGTAACAACTGCCTACATCTTCAACACGACAGAAAGTCAACAAATTAAACTAATGAAAGTTCTGCATAGAATTTGATGCTGTAAATAAATTCCTCCCATTTTATATTCCTTTCGGCTCTAAACTCTTTTTATAAATCGGAATCTGAGTCACTCTGCCGACTACCAGTTTCCATATTGGATTCTACAAATACGGGAGCCGGGGCGGGCGCTTCTTAGTGGGCGGGTCCTCCCTGAACTAGCTGCAGATTCCCTTTCTACTATTCTTCCTCCATTTGGTCCTCTAGATCACAGGAGTCGGCATCTGACTCCGAGAGGACATCTATACTGGTTGCTGACTGCCATACTACCTTCTGGCGCCCTTCTCACCTTCTTAGCGGATTTCTGCACTCGGGTCCACTCACTTTCAGGTTTAACGGGTTGGCCTTGTCCTTCCTATTCCTTCTCTTCTGCCTGGGGAATGTTCTCCACAGAGGCAGGAACTGAAAACGGATGGGATGGCCACAGGTGGCCGCTGTGCTCCTCAGCCTGCTGCACACTGGCTGCCTGCCCGAGGCTGGCCCCTTGGACTTCTGGGTTTTAACCCCCCCTCAGTTGATATGACCCCATTCATTAAGGCTTTCCTCCTCCTAGGTGTGTTCTGCTGCCACCAGAAATTCCTCATCCACTGATTCCTCATCCCTATTGTGGAAAGCCACCGGGCAATCTCTGTGCAAATGGCCAAGCCTACCACATAGATTGCACTTGATGTTCTCACAGGTAGAACTGACATGGCCGACCTCCCCACACACATTACACTTCATGATAGAGCAGGGACACCGCCACAATGACCCGACCTACCGCATTTGAAACATAGCCTGGGCTGACCTGCATAGAAGCAAACTCCCCTCTCCACCGCCCAATGAAGGAGTTTGGAAGGTGATGGGTGACATGGTTACTCTGCTCCTTGAGCTGACAAGAACCCTCCAACCTCCCAGTCCAGATCCCATCACTGTCCTAGTTTTGGTCAGATCAGAGACCATATCACAATGCCTTCTGAGCCAGACTACAATATCCTGGGGGGGGCACAGTACTCATTCCAGAAAATGATGTTCACGTTTGCTGTGTCAGGTTTGGAGATGGGGATGAAGGTGAAAATCTTCCACCCCTCTTTATCCTGAAACCCACTAAAGCCGGCCCATAGAACCTGTCCAAGCCAGACATGAGCTTGAAGCTGACATCATACCCCTGTCTGTCAGGGAGGTTGATGACTGCCAAAATATCTGCGGGCACAAACCCCATCTGCTGACACAGCAACTCCCTAACCTACAAACCTCCTATCAGGGAGCTCTTCTCTGGAACCCCTATGCTTCAACCTGACCACGTTCCTCCTCTTGAAGGCCTGACCAGTATAAACCGGTACTGTTGGAAAAAGAAGGAGCCCCACGGCTCCCAGGCATTTCCGAGGAGGGACATGGCCAGATGGACCACTATTCCCTTCTGATGCAGGTGGCGACTCAACCAAAGGGGGGAAATCACGGGTGTTATCCTGAACTGACTCCTCCATCGCCACATTCACAGGGTCCTCAGACTGGTCCTGACCCCATCCAGACATACCTACCTCAGTGTTAATGACATCAGGAACCCCTACATCAATATTAGTGATATCAGCACTGGCCATATCACCACTAGCATCAGCAGCTTCATCTGCATAATTATATCAACTACCCCATCCTGAACACCAGTCCCCTCAGCATTGGTTCCACCATGAGAACCGGGGGTAGCAACACCGTCCTCATAGTCCATGTGCTGGGAGTCCATCATGTCGCTTCTCTGGGTTTCCTGCACTATGAAAGTCTGCTGGGTGAAGCTGACGCTACCGCTGTCCTCCAGAGTTGGAGTCCTGTCTTTCAGGGAGCACATTTGCTGGTAGCGTGCCTTGGATCAGTTCCCCGGAGTCTGACTCTGAAGAAGACTCCATCTTTACACTTAATTGTGCCCCAACCCAATCGCAATCCCGATACACACCCCCCCCCTGGTCCCAGTTCTTCCATAACAGCATCAATGTCCCTCGATATACCGGCCAGTTCAATGCCCAGGGAGTTAAGCTCGCTGTCCATGTAGGACTTCATTCCCGGGGTCGGCAGCCTTGAGTCTGTAGATGGAGTCAATCTTTTCTGGGTCGAAGCCTTAGCTTTCCTCAAGGTCTTCATTCTCTTCTCCAGAGCAGGAATCCTGTCAGCCAGGCGCAGCACAGGTGACTTTAACACTTTCTGCTTCCTATCCGCGGGAGGGCTTGAAATTCTGATCCCCATCAGCGGTACTGGGTGAAGGGTCTCTGCTGGATGTAGAAGGACTCTCCGGGCCAGACTGTGGAGGCTTATTGGCTCCATCATCTTTCTTCTGCCGGGACCTGAGCGTTCCTGGCCACTGCCCACCATTACACACTGCTGTATAAGTTCTCCTTCAGAGTTTTCTCTGCTCCAACGTAGTCCTTGCAGATCTGCGCGGAAAGTACTGGAGTGGACAGTGTCTCTGCTCCACTCTGAACTGTATGGGCCCCCTCTGACTGAACGGCCTGTGCTGGGCTCTGTGCAGGGCATGGGCTCCACTCTTTCTGGGCTTGCTTTGTTTGCAATGGCCTGACTGCCTTTTGTTGCTACTCCAGAGCTGGTAGTGTGCTGGGTGATAGTGTCACTTTCCTGAGCCATATGGACTGTGTGATCACCACTCTGCACGGCATGGACTTTGCACTGTATGGCATGGGCTCTACTCTGCTGGACTTGCTTTTGTTGCAATGACTGACTGCCTTGATTTACAGTTCCAGAACTTGAAGCATGCCGGGGCGGTGACAACATTACATTCCTGAGCTGCATGGACTGTATGGGTTCCGCTCTGCACGGCATGGGC